TTGATCAGGAGTGTTTTAGATCGAAAATATGTTGTTAGTGGTAGACGAACAACAAGTTTTGTTGGACAACGTTTTCCAAAACGTGCTTAAAAAGATCGTCTTTTCCCAGGTAAAAAGAAAAATTATGATGTATTGGTGAAAGCGGTTGGAGAGTAAGAAAAGACCTTCAAAATGAGGTCTAGTATGTTTGATTTGTTGCGGTGGTTAATTTGTTATTGCAACAAATCGTTCATATCCAAATTTATGGAAAACTTAGCAAAACTCATAAAATAATCATCAATGTTCAACAATTGTAATACCGATCAAACCCAATCCGAGTCCTCTGATCACGATCTGGTCTGGTTGTAATATTTTTGAAATATATATGACTAATTTTTAAAACTTGAATATTTTGGGAAATTTGCAAATTTCGAGAGTTCTGAAAAATATGAAAACTGCTGCTTCGAAAAATAATTTCTCAAAAACTTCGCAACATCCCCTCGTTCGTTCATTGACAGTCCGTCATTGCATGCATTTTCCACCCTCCAAATTGAATCCCGGTTGTTTGTAGCCCCTTTATGTTCCCTTAAACGCTCCGTCTTGGCGTTCGCAAATTGAACCGGGACCCCAACGATATCGGATGGGGTCACACATCGACCCCCAACAACATTTGTTATACATATGATTCTAAACGGGCCACAGCGTTAACTCGCCATTTTTTGCACTCTTTTAAATTCGGACGGAGATGTTGATTGATCGTTCGAGAAACGTTCCACCGACTTTTCATTTTTGCGATTCTTCATTGTCTCAGTGGCGGCAGATCAAAATCGTTCACGATTTTACGCCGAAATGGAACCACATGTAGAAATTACTTGAAAGTGTAGATCTCCACATTTGTGTCTCAACTTGAGCAACAGCTGTGCTTCGGTAAGGACCGATCGCAAATTTTTCATAAGATATGATTGGGAGTATATATTTGAAGCAATACATACTCAGTTGTCTTTAAAATTTAAACCTGTATCTAGATACAAGCTCGATAATTTTACTTGCATATCAAGGGACATATCGAAAAGTAATATTTAATGTCCTAGGTTTCTTCTGAACGCTGAAATTTGACAAAACGGATGTTTTTTTTCAGAATTTAAATAGAGCTGATTCCTGCTAAACCGCTTGTTAATATTTTGCAGCGTAACTCCGCAATCTCTCTCTAAGGTAGCCTCACACTTAAAAGTCATTTTCCAGTTTGGCCGATGGACAGAAAGAAATCGCAACGGCGTACCGTTTATAATCAAACCGAGATTTTCCGCGGCGATACTGCCTCAGGGTTTAATCTCAGAGTTGTTTTCGAAGCAATACTGCAAATTGGAATAACAAGAACCAGCGACCGGGAGGATGGTTGTTTTCGAGGAATACGGCAACTTTTCAGACACAACAACTTTTTGTTTGTGTTTTGGAGTCAGTTCGCGAGCTCGATTTTCCGTTCGCCATGATTATTCTACGGTTCCAGGGTTGTTTTCTTTGGACTCGCGTGTACGAAGTACGAAAAGTTCGAGCACTCGCGTTTTAACTCGTCAAGTGTTGTTTCGTGCTTTTTGACAACAACGCAACTATCCTCTAGCGCGGAGGTATCGAAATAGAGCGCCATCTATCACCGGAATCGACCACAGCTGCTGTTTCTTGGTAGACGTTGTTTATAATCCAAGACGGTTCCATTCGTTTTTAACATCAAAAAAGAAAACTTTGCGATATAGGTCCTCAACATAACGTTAGCGACCGAATTGCTGAAACAATTGCGATTACAAAAAAAATCTCAGAACGCTATTGTGTGTTAGAAAAATGGCTCATTCCGTATTCCCATGATTATTTCGTAATCATGTTTATTTAAAATGATCGCCCGATTCACGCTAGATAAAACACTCGTAATTATCACCGGCTTGTAATTTTTTATTGCATCTGGGAATTAATTCCTTTGTAATTAGTCTATTTGTGTTTTTGCTGTTAAGGTAGCTTCCCCCCGTCAATAATTTTACCATGATATTCACATAAAGGTATCACCAGCTGTTTCAACAGCGGATTAGCTATGCGTAATATACTTCAAAAAAAGGATACGGAGGCAATAAAACTGTCACTCACCGCGAAGGGATTCGGAGTTTTATCAAGAAATAAAGGAAGTCTTAATACGGTCTATTAAAATTTATCTACCAGGTCCAACAGATAGAAACAGGTTTTGTTTTTCGTTTCTGCGGCAACAAACACCCATACACAAATGCGCTTCTTGGTTTTCAGCAAGAAGCAGTGCAGTATTTCAAAATGAGGCTAGTGATGATTTTTTTAACGATAAAAAAAAAACACACAATGTCACCGATCACAGACAAAAAGTACCAGTACAATGATGTACATCTATTGAAAAAGTGCACTCAACAATGGTTCCATTATTCCGAGCAATCCATTTAAATTGAATTGTGGGCGTGCCTGATAAATAACAGTTGAACGTTTCAATTTATTCCACACTTCACAATGAGAAACACACCGAGCTCTAATTAAGTATTGTTAACATTTTTTTTAAGGATAGGTTTTAGTAACGCAAAATTAATGTCAATTTGCAAACATTCCTGCCTGTTTATGGTAGATGCTTTCCATAAGTACTGAATCAATACCAATACCGATATTACTCATGTTTTAATAAAGACCCCACTAAGCAGCGACCGGAGAGTTGTTGTGGTGGCCTTTTTCCATCTGATACCTCTTCAACACCCGCGTGAAGAAGAAGCTTTCAACAATATTATATATGCTGAGTGACAAAAAAGGTGAACAACTACGTATGTTTATTAGAATTCAAACAAGTGGTGAAATGGTCTGGTGTCTACGTGTATTGTTTGGTGATAAAGAAGCATTCAGTTTTGTGAGACGTCAACAACTGTCAAACAGACAGCGTAAGCCTGGTCGGTACGTGGCATATTGCATCCTGACTACTGACGTAATCGTAAAACAAATCGTTCATCTATTCCATTGTCCCGGTCCGAATTCGTTGGACATAATCACCTGTGCGATGACCAACCCTCGTAGCCTAGTGACATGATCTCTCGGGGTTGCATAAGCGTCTTCCTTGTTGCGAAAATGTTCATTGACTGACGTACCCTTTTTTAATCAAGCCAAAACAGCTCTGCAGCCCTACATAATCCCTTGATTCCCAATTATCTCTTGCGAAAAAAAAACTAATCCCAAAAGGTTCGTCAAGGAAAGAAAAACGGAGACCGCTACTATGCTATCGTCCCTATGGAGATATAGGCAGGTCAATGTAGGACAAATGGGATACAGTTTTTATCGCCGAAACTTCATTTTTGTCAGTTTCAGAGATTCACGCTTATTTTCAAAATTGTTGGCGGCGTTGAAGATTGAAGGTTGGAGATTGTATATGCACATATGCGTCCATACACTTGCTAATGGAAGCGCTTACGATATTTAGTCAAGTTTCGATGCTTTCGGTGGCCTATCCGGAGTCCAGATCTCACACCACAGGATTTTTTTCTTTGGGGATACCTCAAGAGCCGCCTTTACGCCAATAAACTGACGACTCAACACAAACGTTTCCGAGGAAATGTCCGCTATCCCACGAACGATGTGCCAGCGAGTTTTCACGAATTTGAAGTCCAGATTCGAGGAGTGCGTACGTCTAGATGGCTCACATCTCAATGATGTTATTTAAAAAAAAAATAGAATTCCTATGTGCTCAACTTAATGGCCCACCAGTGCCGTGTTCTATGCAACCTATGATGATCTGACAGAACTAATAAAGCAATGAAATGAATCGACCGACATACCATAAAATCCGAAGAAAAGTTTGACTCTAGATGTGACGAGTAATTTTTTTTAAAAGGGATATACGAGCCACTTCCCACTTCAGTGGGCCCAACTATTGAAATCTTAGTTTTTTTTCTTATCAAACACAAATAATAAAAATGTAGCAGCGTGTTATAGGTTTAAAATATTAACAATGAATATTTTGATAATATACAGGGTGACTTCGAAGTTGAGTCATTTATTTTAACAGTGAGTAGATCTAATCAAAAGAAATTTTTTTTCCTTTACCATTTTTCTGGTAAAATTAAAGTAACAAAGTTATAGCCCTTTGGAAGTTTGAGTACCGCGCTGTCTCAATAATATCATGTGCTCGTGTTTGGAAACAACGGATATAATCCGCCTTATCAGTTCATCGCATCGGAAACAAAAAAGCGAAAGAATTTGGAACGATGTTTTTACAATTATTTTATTCAGTTCAGTTATACATACAGTCAGTGTCAGTCGCGTGTAAATAGTGTCTGTTGCGTGGCTCAAACGAAATAAAAAATGGCACATGTTTATGCGGATCGGTTTCCCAATCGAGTGCAACCAACCCCTCGTGCCTTTGTTAATGTAGTACAACGGGTTCGTGAATCAGGTGACTTAAGACCTCACAGGGGACCTCACGATCAAATACAGGTCCGCACTGAAATACTTGTCGGGAGGATACTTTATAAAACAAGGTAAACATTTGTTTTTATTTTTACACACATATTTTGGTTTATCTTCCTTCTACAATCATTATCTGAAAATTAATGACACAACTTCAAAGTCACCCTGTATAGTAGAAAACAGCAAAACTTGGTTAACACTACGCCCTAAAGAATTTCAGCCGTAATAAAAAATAAAGGTGATGCTATCCAATGGTAATCTTTCAATTGTTGCTTTGTTAACTTTGATAGCATAAATCTAGTTTTCCTGTGCTATAGGGGGTGAGAATCATATGGAATCATCCGGTAATCGATGAAGCAGCGAGCTTTACCCTCGCCGGGCATGCGCAGCGGGCGCGTCCTTGTCCTTTAGAGCACTAACCCACCCCAAACGAGCCCAGGCCACCGGCCCTTTCCACTACCCCACCCCCTCCCTGCTTTGCACGTCCCCACCGCTCCGAAACGATTCGACCGACGCCCACGTTCTCGCATTTCCCGGTGACTTGAATGGGACAGTGCTGCCAGATTTACGGCAATGATATTTTCAATGAACGTTCTGTTCCTATGGCCCCAAACTAGAAAAAAAATATACGGTTTGTGTAGGTTAATAACGTAATGTTCATCGTCACAAAGTACAGGTGAATAATAAGTCTCGTACAAAACAAATAAAGTACCCACACAAATTTAATAATAATAATAATAATCTATATTCCAAATTGTACAATGACATTACAAAAATTGTATAGTCACTACAAAATGAAATGTTGTGTCACTGTCACCATAACTATAGTAGTTTACCTGAGACCTTTTTTGTGTTACATGGTTATTTATCTTAAAACAGCTACCATCTTATACTATTACAACTCCCATAGGACTCATCTATTGTACAAGGCTCTGACTGTACTAGAAATTGCTTAATAGTCTTTTTAAATTTATGTAAACTGTTTATGTTTTTAATTTCATTTGGTAGATCGTTGTGCTGGGTTTATTGAAGCTAAAAGTACAGTGAACGGCTAAACAATGTGAATTCCATAAAATTTGGCAAATCAGACAATATAAAATTTGTAAAAGTATGATCAATATTACCCCTAGTCGGTGTTGCATTTTTTGTCATTTAGAATAGATCATTGACTTTTGCCAAAATTCTCATTGATAAATCATTTGAAGACATAACATTACAGAACATTTGTTATTTAACAGCCGGGAAAATTGTCTCTACATGTGTTGAGCATAAAAGTAGACAGGGTTCTTAGCAAGATAGCCAAGCAAATTATGCTTGTTAAATAATAAGCATTTAATTTTGTCATGTATTAAAAAGAATTTTGCACTGTCAATGTTCTAGTTTCACTGACCCATCAAAAGAAAAAATAGGTTTATTTATTGTTAAAAATTTATTTTATTCCAAAATTATCGCTGTTGTATTCGAAAATATTGAGTAATTGCCTTTGCCTTATCCGCTTATTTAAAAGTTTTTTTGTTTCGGCCACCACATGCCTGATGTGATTTTCCACACTTGACTGGTTGAAATGCTATTTCCTTGTGAACCTGATTCCATCAATAAATTTGTTTTCGAGTAAAAATTGACTATTTTATGATTTTTTTAAAACCGTCCATCCTCTCTGCCGCACCCTGTATAAATATGATTGCAACGCATTTCACTGAGAACCTAGCTATTGGCATACATCTGACAACACCGCAAGCGATAGATCTTCGCACAAGAGGAAAGCGAAAGTGAATTGGAAGGGGGAGCGGATAGGAGGTGGGGGTTACCGACCCCTCCAACGCGGGCGGGGAGACGTAAGGGGCATGGGAGGGTATTTCAAGGGCAGCGGTGCGTTTGGTTACGGATCAAGCTAGCTTTTCAGAAAAAAAATAATAGACCGTTCTTACGAGACAATTAGTTCAAAAGAAACATCGCTAGCCAGTATATGAAAAAAAAAATGGCGTCAATTAGATTGACTATATACTTTCTATGCTTTCGTTGGGGGTTTCACAGGGAAGCGGTGAGACAAATCGTTTCAAAAAGCGAAATCGAATCATGATTAGGTAGGTTCACTTAGATATGATGTATCTTCCACCTCTGCATATATAGTATACGACTTCGAAGTTGAGTCATTTATTTTAACAGTGAGTAGATCTACCATTTTTCTGGTAAAATTAAAGTAACAAAGTTATAGCCCTTTGGAAGTTTGAGTACCGCCCTGTCTCAATAATAATATTATGTGCTCGTGTTTGGTTCATCGCATCGGAAACAAAAAAGCGAAAGAATTTGGAACGATGTTTTTACAATTATTTTATTCAGTTGTATACAGTCAGTGTCAGTCGGTAACGCGTGAGTGAATAGTGGTGTCTGTTGCGTGGCTCAAACGAAATAAAAAATAGTACATGTTTATGCGGATCGGTTTCCCAATCGAGTGCAACCAACCCCTCGTGCCTTTGTTAATGTAGTACAACGGGCTCGTGAATCAGGTGACTTAAGACCTCACAGGGGACGGCATGCCGGTGCTCCAAGACCTCACGATCAAATACAGGTCCGCACTGAAATACTTGTCGCGAGGATACTTTATAAAACAAGGTAAATTTTTTTTTTATTTTTTTTTATTTTTACACACATATTTTGGTTTATCTTCCTCCTACAATCATTATCTGAAAATTAATGACTCAACTTCAAAGTCACCCTGTATATCGGCATAAACAATTAAGTCATCATTTACAAGAGCATCGCAGAACGCTAAAGTGGTACCTACTGCTAATATCTAAATATTGCTAAGATCAATAAATATTTCTTCTGTAGCGGTGTGTCAGTGACGACGTTCTACGTGGGATGCCCTGTATAAACGCAAGCTATTGTCGAGTAGTCCGTATATGAAAAAAAAATAGATGTATTCGACGATATGTTTGTAAATATTCGATATTTTCTAGTATTTTACATTCCCTTTTTGATCAACAGCAAATTCGACACACCATGCTGGAACGCTGTTTGAAATTCAAACACTTTTATGATGAACGGTGGCGTCACAAAGCCTGACCAGAGGACTGATTCCCCGAATATTCCAATTGAACGAGGATTTTTTCTCCCCGGAGAGCACCGAATATTTGTCTTTGTCTGATTGGCGAGTCCCCTTTCCCTATCCTTGTCGACGCCAGGCACGTCCTGGAAACAAAAAGGTTTGTTTGAATGCCCTTTCAAATCCGTCAGAATGAAGGCTTTATCGAATACATCACGTTCAAAAAAAACCTCACAGGATGATTAGATTTACTAGGTACCTAGACATTGTCAAACGAAATTGCACAGCATTTTTCCACTACTCACACTTCATTTGACTTTATCGATACAAATAATATCGTTAATATATTTTATGACGAAGGATCTTGCTCAAATTTCAATCAGCTCTAAATTAAAACGCTGAATCAGTTGATAATTTCGAATATTTAGGGATGTTGATGGATAACCATCTGAAATGGAATATACGAGGTCTGCAAATTGAGTGACTGGCAACGTAGCGTTGGATCTGGCAACACTGAAGGAACATTCACAGACGCGACACACTTCGCGAGTTGTAGTATCGTGGTTGGCGCTTACGACCGGCTTGACTGGAGTGGTTCGACACCGTTGCCGGATTGTCGATACTTGAGGCATCGAAGAAACTAACTGTTATTTGGCCGCCCAACTAACAATTATCACTCCTATTAGAGTTGCAAGAATGATTATACAGTATTCCTTACGCAGGATTGTATACTGTAAGGACATTGGCAAAACCCTGTTAGAACAGCTATACAAGCGGAATGGGCACACCTAATAGGACACTTCAGTCATTTAAGAGGTTGTATAAGGGCTGCAGGTAACAGTCATACAACAAAAGTGTGTAAGCCTCTTGCAGCCGCTATAGGACATTTGCGTCAGTGCGAGATTCAGTTTTTGTCAACTATACAACTATTCTGTTACCTTTTGAACCAATATGCATGCGTTGTTTGTCTTAAAACATTAGTTATGGCATTTTAACAAAAAACAAATCAGGTACGAATCGTAATTCATATCCGACCCCTCCTCTTCTCAATCAGCCGATCTTTTTACTGATCAACTCGCATGTAAACGAGCCTGTTATTGTGACGACGTTTCCAGGGGGTCGCGTGAAAATCGGACAATGACAAATCAACGGCCGCCGAGTCCCGTCACAGAACGTTAAGCTCGCAGAAAAGAACGTCAGTTTATTCGTTGACATCGTTGACAGTCGCGAGATCGTAAATCATCCGGGGAAATTTTCGACCGAGCCTCCGAAAAGTTTTAATTACATCGGTCGCGAAGAGGATTAAAACCGATGACGAGTTTTCGTTAATGAACTCGCTCCCTCGGTTTAGATGAAGAGCTTCGAAAAGGTAGTCAGTCAGTCTTCGCGATCCAGCGAAAGTTTTCCCGTTCAAGAAACTTGGTTATTAAGTAAATTTTGCCGGTGTTACCGAATGCCCTTTCCAGTTGTCACTTCTTCGGTGATCTGACAGATCTTAGATGGATAGACTTTTCTGACTCCTTTGATATAAAAATCTCCATGTTTACAGGGTGTTTCAGTTTATTGTTGCATAACTTTAAGATTCGATAGAACTTTTAAAATTAATGCATAAAGTCTATATAAACAATAAACTGAAACACCCTGAATATCGACTTGTTTCTCCGTCAACGAGACTTTTTATTGAGCATTTGGTCCGTTTTATAGATGCATCCGAGATTTTATAGACGTTCTTGAAATCGCCAGTTCTGAATGACCATAAATGGACCCCAGCTTACGGATGTTATTTTAACGTTTATGTTCCTTATTAAATCCCTGCAGGGCGTTCTCAATTTGATTATGTCCGGGGCCGTTTATTGTTATTAGAGATGTTGTAATTGATTTATGGAATGGCGTTCTCATTAATAATGGGTTGAATTAGATTTTGTTTTAGGAGCAGGCTTATGTGTGGTGCTATGATTTTTATGTTGGTGCAGAAATGGTGCGATTACTATTAAATTCGTTTTTTGGGTAAACGGGGTGTGGGAATCATGAATTTGGTATCAGTTTGTTGAGATTATCAGATGGCCCTAAAAGGCACACTTTCGTATCCCAAGCTTATATAGACGTAGTAAAGAGCTAGGTAGTACGGACCGAGACGTTTTCATATTTGAAAATAAAAAAACTTCTAAATTCAGTTTTAGCGGTTAAAGATAATCTTTCACAATAACATAGTTAGTAACATAAAGCTAGAATTGAAATATCCAAGGCCGGACTCTATTAAATATAATTAATGATTTCGCCTTTTCTATTGCTTTAATTAAGCATTTGTATACGGTATATTCTAATATTCTTGTGTCAGCAAAAACTCAGGGTTCCCAACTTGTTGCCATCAACATTTTCCAAAATAAAATGATTGATTAAACGTAAATAAAATATATTGAATCCGACCCTGGAATTGTGAGTCCCCAAAAAATCTTCAGTTCAATTTGTAGCATCATTTTGTGAAGTGTTGCTCTAACCAAGTTGACATCCCTTGAGATTTCTAGTTCCGTCTCACATAAACTGGCGAAAATGAGATATTTGAGTGGATAAAAATTGCAACGTAAAAATCTAAAGGAACTAATTCAGCCTCCCATTTAGCGGCAAATAAATTCGTTCCGTTCTGATCCCCAGAAACAATAAATTCAGGGGAAGCGTATCTTTACAAGTGGTCGTAAGTTAGGCGCTGCGTAGACATCAAGCAACCCTTTTCCTCCCTTTCTTTTTTTATCGTTCTTAAAAAAACGGCCGCCGCGTTTCTAATAGCTCTGGCGTCCCACGGGCCTTGAAAAAATGCTCTCGAAATCGGAGACTCCCATAAATGAAGCGCTGCCGAGAGTTAAAAGGCGTAACTTGCGATTGGCCACCGCTTATACTTTGAAGTTGAGACATTAATTTTCAGATAATGATTGTAGAAGGAAGATAAACCAAAATATGTGTGTAAAAATAAAAAAAAATGTTACCTTGTTTTATAAAGTATCCTCCCGACAAGTATTTCAGTGCGGACCTGTATTTGATCGTGCGGTCTTGGAGCACCGGCAAGCCGTCCCCTGTGAGGTCTTAAGTCACCTGATTCGCGAGCCCTTTGTACTACATTCAGCAACAAACACCACTATTCACTCACGCGTTACCGACTGACACATCGACTGAATACAACTGAATAAAATTGTACATTGTAGTAAAAACATCGTTTCAAATTCTTTCGCTTTTTTGTTTCCGATGCGATGAACGGATAAGGCGGATTATATCCGTTGTTGCCAAACACGAGCACATAATATTATTATTGAGACAGGGCGGTACTCAAACTTCTAAAGGGCTATAACTTTGTTACTTTAATTTTACCACAAGAATGTTAAAGGAAAAAAACATTTCTTTTGATCAGATCTACTCACTGTTAAAATAAATGACTCAACTTCGAAGTCACCCTGTATTGAGCGCTACGGGATTCACGCAGGATTCAAATCAAATAAAAAATATATGGTTTTTATTACGGTGTTTTTATAACTTTTGGATTGATGTATCTCAGTACAAAATGTATTCAAGACAAGCATTTCAAGTGTCTGGTTTTTGGCTCTTTTACTTAAGCAATTTTTTCAAGCTGCTGGTTCTAAGCAAACATAGGAAAAAGCGGAAAGAAAAAATTGCAATTTTTTCATGCCTTTGGGTGCGCGGAATTTTCGGCTGAACCATTGCATGTTATCAAAAGCATGCTTGAATTCACTTTATTCAAAACCTGGATAGGATCATTTCTTGCCGCGATATCGAATTTTAAATGAAAAGGGAGCCTTTCGGTTTTGAACATCGTTCAGAAAATCTGAGAGATGTTTAAAAAGGTGTAAGCATCATAGAAGCTTCCGTAAATTTTGTAAATTCTCTTAATTATCAAAAGCAGCGGCAACACTGCGGTGAGCGATCTGTTCGAGAACGATCTCGATTCATTCAATATCACGTAGAAATAGTCCTAGTTAAAGGATACAGCAACAGTTTGCAACTTCTGTTAGGCATAATTTTAGCGAAGACAGAAACGGAAGTGATTGCGTTCCAAAATGATTTAGCTTTAAAATCATTAGTCTCAAATACAAAATGTATCTGGCCTTCAGTAGGTAAAGATAAATATTCAATTTTAAGTCGTGTTGCCTTGAAAGTGAAAACGTTGTTTAACTCAACCTATTTGTGTGAATCTTGTGTGTTTTTGGTTAAAATAGGGCGTTGCTTTTTTATTTTTAGTTACCTTTATTGGATCGTATGTGGCACGCCACTGTAGCTGACAAAAAAATTTGTTTATTTTTCAAACACCTACGATTGGTAGGAATGGATGTAGTATGTATTAGTTTTTAGTTTATTTTAGTTTATAAGTAGTAAAATAAGAACATGTACATCGCATACAACTATGTATAATTTCATTTAAGTTGGCTCACATCGCGTACGACTAGGTAGCTCACTGTTCATTCCCAAACTTATCAATGTAGAAATCTGGCAACGCCGTCGTGTTTGTCGGCTCCCCCACCACCGATCCCAACAAGGAGCGCCTTTCGGCGACGCTATGCACCGCTACGTGTCTTGTTTGGGTACGCCACTGAGTCGTACACGAGGCGTGCCCAATTTAAAATTTCGATTGACAATTAGAGATAGAAATAGACGCAGGAGAATCTATGGGCCGTGGATGATGTGTTTATGACTCTTTCCGATGGGAATGGCCCATAAATATGGTGATTTTAACATAGGGATGTTACAGTATTTTTCAACTAAGAGTTTTAAACGAAGGGCGGTTAATATAGGAAGCAATCAATAACCTGGAAGTCGCTGCTACTACACTTCATATGGATTTCATTACCTCTATGATAATGGTCTAGGAATCTACCGGTCTTGTCATGGTATCAATATTCGCGGTGGCATTAAATAAAATGACTTCTTTACAAGATGGTATAACTTAGGAAAAATCGTTTTCTCTCAAAACCTTTTCAATGAGTCCAAAAAAAGTGTTCCTCTCCAAGCTTTGGAAATTTTACTTTATTTGCGTTGTATATATTAGCAGTTCTATTTTCCCTGTCTTTCCGTGGAGACTTTTAATCATAGGATCATTCAAGAATGTACGCAGTGTTTTAAAAAGTTATATAATTGTATGTAT